AGAGAAGACATGAATTGTATGTTCGAGTGGCCAGATCAGTATCAAACGAGTGAGAGCAGCAAACGAGTGACGTATTAATCATATGAACATAGGGGGTAACTTTCTAAAGAAACTGTGGTGCTGCGTCGGTGGGAGAGTATAGCAGGGTAATTAAGTGTTATCAACTGAGTTGAAAACGTAAATTGGCCACCGTAAAGAGATTAAGGGCTGATGTTTCGAGCGTTAGTCCTTTGTCATAGCGATTGAAGGAATTGTGGGTTTTGTGCAGGTTCATATGCAGAAAATGGAGCCACGCTATTGGTGAGAATATGGTGACGAGAAAACAAGAATAAATTAGTTGAATGAAAAGCGCTAGCGCTTGTTGATACCATGAGGATTAAGAATGCCGATTTGGAGGATAAATTTTTGTTCTAGAGTTTTGTGGCTTTCCGAAATGCCTAGATGTAGGGAAAGACCGCAAACTGCCATGTGCTGTTTAGAATGATTAGGGAGACTGAAGTGTATTGCGACTGGTTTGGATGCGTCCTTGTCATTTCTTTCTACGTCGCGAAGTTGTTCTCGGAATCGGTCACCTAATGTATAAATTTTTGTAATGAGTGCAAGTTATGCAGTAAATGACATCGGCTGAGGTGCACATAAGAGATCTTAATGGATCTCTTGGGTCCCGAAATTTTACCTACTTTATGAATGAAAGGACAAGTTTTGCATCGTGAGCGAGCGCATTTGAAAGTTCCAGGTTGGTCATTGGTTTGAAATGAACTTCAGACCGAAAAGTTGCCAATGTTTTTGTCACATTTGAATGAAATTAGTGGAGGTTGTGACAAGATATTAACAATCTCTGAATCGTTTTGGAGTAATTTAAAGCTTATAAGATCACTCATCACTGATCATTACAAACCTTTGAAGGCCGTTCAGCACGGACAGATGAAAAATTGACCTGTGTTTAGTCGCAACTTTCGATAAATTCCTTGAAAATCTTGGTTTTCTCGTTCCCTTGTTGTTCGGGAAATACATCTACATCTTCCCCGCTTACCACAATGAATCTTGCTGTCAATTAATATTCCAAACAACAAACAAACCAAGTTCATTCAGCAAAGTTCAAACAGGCTCAAGTTTCTTTCTTCTTTCTTTTCAGACAAACCAGTATTTTAAGTCAAATGCAGAAAGGACGGTTTTCAAATGGAAAAGAAGTAGCATGCTGTGGAAGAATGTAATGCAGACTAAACTTATCACAATTGGAACTTCAATTTGGTTTTTCGGAATGATTGACAGATAATAGCTGAAAGGATAAGGGCATTTTTAGTGCAGCTAAACAAGAATTACAGATAAAAGCATCCGCCTAAACTCCGCGATTCTTCGTGTGATTAAAGTCCTGCATCGTCGTAAATTCACCCACAAAACAAATGAATATAGAGAATCAGCATAAGCTTTTTGTTTTTACGGGAGAAATTATATCATCGAAGCAGAAGTAAGGGAGGTAATTAGAACGTGTTAATTTGAGAGCAGCTAAACCGAAATTTTGGATAGAAGCATACACCTGTATTGCCTTAATTTGAACTAATTTCAAACTGCAAAATACTCTCGGAGATGAGCTATTTCCTAGATCGCAGAGTTGAACTTTTTAAAAGCTGTCGGTTAGTAATTGAGAATATATGACATTAAGGGAAAAAATAATACAGTCGTCAAAATGTTACAAAATAAAATTACACGGTGACATTTAACTCTTTTGATCTGCCGGTGCATTTGTATTAAACTTAAATTTAACTCCAGTGAAAAAGGGTAGTATTTTCTCCTTATGATGATTCCGATTTTTTGATACTTGCCGTTTGAAAACTCGACGTTCTGTCTTTTCCCGCAGCAATAAAAACACCAAATATTTATTATTTGGTTATGGCTACACAAAGTGGTGTTTCTAATGCCTCTGATGGCAAGAAGCAGCAGTTATGATTTTATTTTTTAGACCCCATCATGTGTTCCTCATTCTATCTAATTTCTCTCTGAGTTATCTGGGCAGTTGCTGTTTAGGTTAATTCAGTCATCTTCCTAGATTATTTTTCGTTCCACTCAAAAGAGAAGGAAAACTAACCGGAAGCTCACTAATCGTTGCACTTGTATCGTTGTTTAGTTTTCTAGAAGCGAAAAAAAAGCATTTCTTGTCATTTTAATCATTTAGATATTTGTACCGTTTCTATCCTTCTATCCTTATATCAGTCTTCTCGTCTACGCTCAGCCAGGATTCAATTCGGAGGCTGGAGCGTATCGCGTAACCATTTTGCAAGACCCTAGATCATATAAAATCCAAAGTCAACCCACGATATTCAAAGCATAGGGTTTTAAGGTGTTCGCTACCTATATAGTCTTTGTTTTGTCTGAGACGATTTTGTCCCGGATTTTTTGTGTTCATGTATATGATTTACATAAACGAATCCAAAGTTTTGAAGGCTGTATTTTAAACTTATGGAAATGTATACATAATGAGGCAAGTTAAGTGAGGACTTATATTTCCGTACTTGCTCTCGAAGGGGGCTGGGGATAGGGGAGCAGTACAGAAGGAGTTGTTTTAAACCGGAAATGCAGAACTATGGAGTACTCTCTCGGTGCACGATTATTCACCCTAGTCGGTTTCGACGAACTTGTGGAAACTCTTCTTTCAACCCCAATCAATAAACGCAGCTTTGGAAAAAATACGGTTTATCAGTATTTTTCTCCCTGGGAGGCGGGGTTGCAGAGGGCTGTGTGTCAACCTCAGAAGTCATTAACTATGGCGGCTCTTGCGGCAAGGTGTCACTTGATTCGGATTGGGCTAGTCAACTTATATCAGAATTGCAATTTTTATCACAACCAGTTACCAGGATTCCTCAGGGACGATAACAACAAAATTTAGTCTCTTCGGTCTGAATGAAAAGCTGAACCTCTATTTCGCTCCCATTGCAAAAAAAAAAGCGCGGCTATTTTCCTCATTTTAGTTATCCGTCCCTAATTATACTTTGAAAGAACGCAAAAACTGATGGCACAAAATCTTTTTTAGCAATACAAATACTCGCTGTCTGAACACATCAAATTCAAGTGTCCTTCAAACTTTCCAACCATTTATCCGAGATATTCTCAAGTTCCAAAGTGGCATATCGACTTGGGCTATTATACGATTTGAAGTACGTAAAATATTTCTATTGTGCTGCCTCTAAAAAGTTTAATTAATTTCCTAAGAGAGTGATAGGATTAGTACCCACACCTCCCTCTGTCAATCAAGCACACCAGGAGACCTCAGCAAAACGCAATTGCAAATGCAAGGAATTGATCGTGTGAACCACCCAACGCAAATGCAAACGCAAACGCAAGCGTCAACCCAAGTAATAAAAACATTTTCATCTTCTTTATTTCCCGGTAAAACACTCCCGTCTATATGAAAACTGTGGTTATTCCAGAGATTGTAAATACAATTTTGACTTTTTTATTCACACATATTTGAATTGCTTTCCTTTGCGCATAGTGCTCTTCAATAAAACCGAAAAAAATTGTTTTCCGTGTTCACACAATCAATGTGGGTGGGGGAGGGGTGGGAGAGTCCCTCTAAGTTATTCATCTCGGATTTGTTAAAAGTCACATTTATCTTGGTTCAAGCTGTCATGTAAATGATCACAACGTTGGGCCCATAGAAAGTTGATTAAACTGTTTTTATTTAAAGGCAAAACTATACTGTATAAATTATCTGTGCGTAGACCACCAGCGTATTTTTTTTTTTTACA